ATTGGAGAGGCTCTTCAAATTGTGGGTAACGGGTGTTTGTGAGGTCTGGAATGAGGAGGGGCGAGACATGGAAAATCAGCGGATACAATTAATTAGGAAAGGGGAGAAACAGGTGGAGGAGAGGGTCATGTTCTAGTGCTATGCCACATGGGCGAGGTACTGGTCATCATAAAAAAATTGTAGCTTTCCATGCTTACCTATCATGCCACTGACCTCCTACAAGTGCGAAGAAGGAGCTAAGACCTATCTTACGTCACTGTTAAGATTAAGAGCCTGAAACACAAAGGAAAACCGCGTTCCCCCAAATTGAACACATCAACTGAGTCCCTGAAAAATCCTGAATTCTCCACCTCTAGGCACTGCTCATACATTCCCCTGGGGAGATACACTTTTGGTTGCAGGACAAATGAAGACTTTTAAATGTATTTGAAAATGCACAATACAGGGGGCCTGGGTGGCTCAGTCGGTTGAGTGTCCAACTCTTTTTTTTTTTTTTAAAGCTTATTTATTTTTTTTTTGAGAGAGAGAGAGAGAGAGAGAGAGAGAGAGAGAGAGAGACAACACACGAGGGAGGGGTAGAGAGTGAGGGAGAGAGAGAATCCCAAACAGGCTCCGTGCTGTCAGCGTAGAGTGTGACATGAGGCTCAGTCTCACAAACTGTGAGATCATGACCTGAGCCAAAATCAAGAGTGTGCCACTTAACTGATTGAGCCACCCAGGTGCCCCCTGGGTTTGTTTTAAATGGCTATCTAAGTTTTAATGCTAGAAAGGAGTTAACATGCTATATACCTTCTTGTTTTTGGCGTTTCTGTGGTCTTAGGACCTAACTGACTTTGCTATGGATATTTCTCAGAGCTTATTTTTTCCAAAATAATAATTTTCTTTTTTAGAGTCTAGTGTTCAGTTATTTTCCATTGTTCACATATTAACTTTCCACTTTGCCAGTATGATTTCAGTATTTAAGGTGTATGTTCAATCAAAACTTCTGCAGGCAAATTATGAGTGTCCAACTCTTGATTTCAGCTCAGGTCATGATCTCAGGGCTGTGGGACTGGGCCCCGTATCGGACTCTGTGCTGAGCTTAGAATCTGCTTAGGATTTTTTCTCTCTCTCCTTCTGCTCCTCTCCCCTGCTTGTGCCTTCTCTCTCTCTCTCTCTCTCCCCCTCTCACTTAAATAAACAAATAAATAAAATACACATTTCCCATGCTTCAAAACTTAAATGATTTATAGAGTCTACAGTAAAATTCTTTCTTCTACCTCTGTCCCTCAGCCAACCGGCTCACTTTCCCAGAAGCAATCAGTGTTACCAGTTTCTTGGCGATGCTTCCAGAAATACTTAATACTTAAGAGAAAATACGCAAATGCACGCACACGCGCGCGCGCGCACACACGCACAAAGATGTGCAACTTGTACGCCGATGGTAGCATACCATTCGTGGTCATCTGTACCCTGGCTGTTTGCTTCCGTGTAAGTGACTCATGGATACCATTTCGCATCAGCAGTAGATCAAGTCTTTATACATGCCGTTCGTATGCTGCCAGTATGATCTCTCTCTCCACTTTCCGCACTAGGCCGTGCATTGAAAACACATCGAAACCGAGTCTAGAGAGATTATGGCTCCATCCCCTTCAGACTAGCTTCAAGATGCAGGCCAGGGACCCAAACCTCCGAACCTCACGTTTTCACTCGAGGATGCTTGTAAGGCCTTCCTGCCAAGAATGTTGGGGGGCGATTCTAAGAGCTTGGGAGTGGGCATCCGGCAGCCTGGTTAAGCGAACATTCGTATGATGTTGGGCAGTTTATTTGATCTGTCTCAGCCTCCGTTCTCCTTGCTCCATATGCACTTCCGTTGATAACCACAGATAGAAAAGGTCACTGATCTTAAGAGCAATGTCTGCATTACCCAAAACGAAGCACGGCCACAATATCATCGTACAGGTCAAGTAACAGAATGTGACCAGAGACCTGGAAATCCTCACGCTGTGCCCCTTCCGAGTTACTTTCCCCTCTACGAAAGCAATACTACTCTCACTTGTAATATCATCATATCATCTTGCTTGTTTTTACATTTCACATAAATGAAATTAACAGGCATGTATTTTTTGGTTGTCTGGTTTCTTCCGCTCAGCATTTGGTTTGAGACACATCTGTATTGTGGAAATCGCAGTTCATCATCGTCACTGTTTTGTACGGTATTCGAACCACTTGCCACGATCTGTGGATTTCTTTTCCCACAGTGGACAAATGTTGATGTTCTTTTGCGTGGTTTCCAGTTTTTGTCTTTGATTACGAGGCTGCTCTGGACATCCTAGTCCATGTTTGCATTTCTGGGTGCTTTAAACCTACAAGGAGAATGGCTGGGTCACCGGGTAAGTTTACGTTCAGAACACTCAGCAACTAGAGTAAGTTGTCTCCAAGTTGCCACCACCGGAAACCAACTCTGGCAGACTTAAGAGAAAAGGAATTGGCTGAAAGACCACGTAGTAGGTCACAAAATCACAGGGAGGATTTGAGGAACGGGCTCAGGAAAAGGTGAGGAGCCAGGAGGGCCCCATGGGCTGGAACACGGTCAAAACCACCCCGTGGCACTGGCGTCACGAGAGCTACATTTCAGTCGCTTGCCACCCTCTCCTAATACCGCATTCTTCTGGTTGTTACTGCCAGAAAAACAAAATGCCTCTGTCCCAGCCTCTTTGTCCCCCAAGTCACCGATTCCAAGTCTGCTGTGTGCACAGCTCACAGGTCAGGCCCAGGTCACACGTCCAGGCCGCAGCTCCAAGGAAGCCCGGAAAAAGCGATGCATAACGGAAGCTTTTCCAACCAGAAGGATAGACTAGCGTTTAGATATTGGCCACACGGAAGCTATTTTTTTTTTTTTTTAATTTGAGAAAGAGAGCGAGACTGAGAGCGAGCGGGGGAGAGGGGCATAGGAGAGAGACAACCCCAAGCAGACCCACAACCCTGGCATCGTGACCTGAGCCATAATTAAGAGTCAGCGGCTCGACCAAATGAACCACTCAGGCACCCCAAAAATCTCTTTCTAAGATTGGCTGTCTCTTTCCAAGTTAAATAACTGGGAGGGGGAACCCAGATATAGATCTTCTTCCAGGAGGGAATAAAAAAAAACAACCTAAGCGGAGCTCTTCAAAAATCAGAGTTTTTTCCTCGACTACATATTCGATAAATGGGACATGAATGTGAGTTCGGAACACAAAATTTAGGAGATTTCATGGCTTTTAGAAAGTAGAAATACAATAATTGAACATATTAGAGATTTTTTTTTTTATAACGAAGGCCCCCAAACCACTTGGTACAAATTGAGGGCATGTAAGGCCCCTATACATTCCTTGGTTAACTTCTTTGTTTTCCTGTTTATATTTTTATTTCTTTGAGGTGGGGACGGGCAGAGAGAGAAGGGGAGGGGGAGAGAGAGACTCGGGGGACAGAGGATCTGCGCTGACAGGAGACGGCCTGGTGCAGGGCTGGAACTCACAAACTGACTTCTCTAACAACTGGCCCCATTCAACCATGGATCCTGTTGAAACCTCACTCCGGCGTTAACAAACTCCTCTCCATCTTAAGTTGTTCGGGTAGCAAACTTGCCCTCTTCCGGCCTTCGCTGTCACCCTTCCTCAGGCCCCCACCTCCTCCCTCCCCTTTAGCCACGTTCACAGAGGCTGCCCGGCCTCCCACACAGTGAGCCACCAATGCAAGCGGTGAGCTGGCATTTGGATGCATTTATCAGGGTTGCTTCTGGACAGGATTTTGTCACCCTCTCCCAGGGATCTCGTTCTCCTGGCACAGTGGCCTCGGTACTCCGCCCTCAGTCCCCGCCGATCGTGGCCAATCCACTTGCCACCTGGCTATCCATCACCTCACCCCAAGGGCCGGCGCCCCGCCTTCGTCCCTGGCCCGAATCTAGATCTGAACACTCGCGGAGACGCCTTGTCCCACACAACGGCCTGCCATTGCTTGAGCTCCCTGTGCAGAAGCTCAGGCCCTGAATCTTGTCATCGCTGACACACCGCCCCACATTTAGCTTCCTGCCTGCTGCTCACCACTTTCTACTGTTCGTTTTGCACACCACTTTGTTCCCACCTGGTGGCTTCGCTCTGTTACAGGAATTTAAAAATAGTCACACGCGATGGTCCCACACGTTTACCGTGTCCAAATGCGGTGAGCCTCCCAGTACAACCTTGCTGTCGCTTTCCTTAGCCTTGGTCAGCTCTCTTTCCGCTCCCCACGACTGTCCCGGAACTTCAATACTTACCCCAAGTCCTTCCTCCCGACCACTGCTGATTTCATTCTCAGCAGATGACCTTGCCTTTACATCGGTGAAAAAATTGAGGTCATCAGGGAGGTCTCACTCAATTTCTCTGTAAACATATCTATATTCATTGGTTTTTCCTTTCTTTCCCTCACTCCAGAAGTCTGCAGTGTCCCTTCCCAGTTCAAGGCCAACGCATGCCGGTGGCCCAACTCAATCTCCCGTATCTGCCCTGACCTTGCTCTGTCAGTCATGTTTCTCGACCTCTTTATTGGATCCTGCCTTCAGTCTATAAACACCTGAAGACCTTTTCATTTTAAAAGGCCCTTACACCTGCATCCTATTCAACTACCATCCAGCTGATCTCACTTACTCCACTTTCAGCTCCTTTGCAAGCACAGAAAAACTGGCTTTCTGGAGTTTTCACTTCAGTTTTACCCCTTAAGCTCTCAAGCCGGCCTTCCTCATGCCTCCACTGAAAGTGTTTTGCCTAGGATACATCATGACCCAAGTGCCAAATCGAATATACGTGTTCCAGTCTTACGGGACCCGACTTCACTCTGTCTTTGACGCCGTTAATTGCTTTCTCCTTTCAAAATGTAATCTTTTTATCCTGACTGTAAAATTGGTGATTTTACTGTCCGTTACTGTCTTAGTCCATTCAGTCGGGCTCCCATAACAAAATACTACAGACTGAGTAGCTTGGAAACAACCGAAATTTTTTTCTTACCGTTCTGGAGACTGGGAGTTCGAGTTCAAGGCGCCAGCACTGTCAGCGAAGGCCTTCTTCCAGGTGTCAGGCATCTGATCGGATCCCGACACGGCAGGGAGGGAGGGGGGCTCTGTGAAGCCCCTTTTATAAGGCACTAATCCCATTCATCAGGGCTTCACCCTAGAGACTTCAGCACCTCCCAAAGCTCCACCTTCTAATACCGTCACCTGTGGGGGTTAGAGTGTCGGCTTATGAGCTTTGGAGGGACACAAACACACAGACCATGGCAATTACGTGACATTTGGAAAATACAGGAAAACACGAAGGAGAAAATTAACTTCACCTGTAATAACACTAAATGGGGATAAGCATTGCTAACATTCTGATGTACACACATATACCTTGATCACCAGGCAGATAGATACGTAGGCACAGTTCTCCGCGGTAGCTTTTACCTGTTTTTCATAAAACGTCACACTGTGAATATGTTCCCATATCCTTAAATATGTTTTGAAAATGCTTATAACTGCTGCATGATATTCTGTACAATGGGAGGAAGTGTCACGTATGACCCATTCTTCTACTGTTGGATATTTGCTCTATATTCTTAATCTTTTTTTAAATTATGTATCAAGGTGTCAGATACATCCTGAATGTAAGTCTTTGACGATTTCCTTGGGATTCTTTCTTTAGCGTCAATTATTGAAAAAGGAGTTATCAGGTTCCAGGCGGTAAATATTTGGGGGGTTTTGCTGCACAAGGCCAAATTGACTCCCAGGAAAGTTCTAGTTATTCATGGTCTCGTTTGCAATGAGTATGAGTACCTGTTTTCTTTTTTCTTGTTCAGTCTTAAATCTTTCTACTCCATTTCCATTTATAATACCCTCTGCTCTATTTCTATAATGATACCCTCTTCTAGTTCTTGTATTTCTCTGGGTTTTTTTTTTTTTTGTCTCCCTTTTGGGAGCTTATCTTGCTATAACTCCTCCTTAAAGGTGACGCTTCGCCTACTTATACCCTAAGCCCACTATCCTTCTCACTCTCTTATTCGCTAGGATTATTTCTTCAATGCCACTACGTTGAAGAATCCCAAATCTAAGACACCAGACCTAGCCGCTCTCCTGAATTTTAGACTCACGTATAGAACCATCTGTGGGGCATTTCCATTTTGGTATCCTACAAATACCCAAAAACTCAACCTGCCAAAAAAGTGAGTTGGCAGTTCAACTAGCCAAGGGGTCACCCACACTTAAAACCTGAGAGACACATGTGTCTTTCCCTTCTTGACCAACCACACTCCCAACACAGCACCACCCCCCATCATAGGGAGAGAAGACTTTCAGTTTAATCACTTCCTATGTAAGTAGAGAACACATTCAAGATGGGAATGCCCCCAAATGTCTTCTTGTTTTTCTTGTTTGAGAGGCAAACGTTTGGTAGATGTTAATTCTACCAAGTCTTGATAGAAGTTCGTTAAGGCCAAAAGCAGGCATAAAACATTTATTTGTGACTTTCAGCCCAGAGTAATACACTTTTCACTCAGAATTTATGTTCTAACCTATGTGCATAAACTTAAAAAATCAGCAAACCAAGCAAGGATATTCAAAAGATGAAATAATATTACCTTTAAGCTAGAAAACATATTTAAGACATCCAATTGAACAGCCTCATTTTTTTCTTAACAATCTGGGCCAGGGATGCTGCATGGCTTTACTCAAAGATGCGTGGTTTGTTGGCAGACGATAACACTAAAATTCAATTCTTGTAGCTCTTGTTCCAGTATTCATTTCTCCACATAAATATTTCCACATGTTCTTAACCCTGGCCCTCGGAGTAACTGTACAAAAAGATACTCATGCACAAGTAACTTCTGGAAAATTCTGCATATCACACTTTTTAGAGAATTATCACCAGGGCTGCATTATGATATTCTAGGGCTCTAGGCACTTTTGCCTGTGTAGGCTACTTCTTACACACACACACACACACACACACACACACACACACACACACACAACTATTAAAATATATTTTGTGACTACATTGGAATAAAGATCAATATAATCCAGGATGGATTCATTATTCTATATTCATTATTATATTTTCATTTTTTTCTTCTTATTTTGAAAGAAATTAAGGGGTGCCTGGGTGGCTCAGTCGGTTGAGCGTCTGACTCTTGATTTCAGCTCAGGTCATGATCTCACCGTTTGTGAGTTCGAGCCCCACGTCGCGCTCTGCGCTGAGCCTCTTCACGATATTTTATAGAGCAAGCAGGCATATCAAATTCTCACATGTAGTTCCCATTAACATACGGAATAGTTGACAATTATATTTCATTAACACATCTTTCTAGTACATGGGAATGGTAATACACCATTAACTCGCGCTTTTGCTTCTTAAACTAATCAAATAAAATTAGGGTGTCTACAAAACTAGATTCCCAACTCATTTTCAGAAGACGGATGATAGGAATTTCATGAATTAGAAATCAGCCAGTATTCACTGCATACAGTGATTACTTTAAAAAGCAGCCACAGCCTCTATGCTTTTATGATTCTTTTGACACATTGATATGGAACAGTCAGCTAGTATTTTGTGTCTTTAATAACTATTAATATTTTTTCAAATATAAGCGTTTCCTATGAGGGCCACTAGAGAAAGCTGGGGCATTACCTGAGACCTGGAATAAGAGCCACCCCTGAGAAACCAGAGAATTTCTCCAAGGGTGTAAGTCAGTTGATGACGAAACAGATGCTATCTGCGGAGACACATACAGCCTCTACATACGTGATTCAAGCACTTAGGTTCAGTTCAACAACATTTACTGAGTGCCTTCTAGGTGCTACGTACTAGGCACAAATGAGATACAGTCCCTATGGGTAAAGAGCTCAAGCCTAATACGTAAACAGCAAATTTTAATATCATGTGGTGAGACGTATGCACAGAATATTCCAGAAGCACATGGCGGCAGCAAAGGGAGATGTGGGGTAGCCACCCAGCCTGGCCTGTGTAAAAGGGAAAGTGAGAAAGGAGGTGAGCTGGTGAATGGGCCTACTGAGGGGTAGGAGAAGAGCTAAGGACAGGAAACAACTCCTCAGGGGAGCAGTGTTTGAAAAATGGGATGTACTCTGTTTCAGTTTCCTAATATAAATATCAACAAAGTAAGTAGGATAGTCGGGGACACGCAGGCAGCAAAGTTTCGTGTTACATTTCACAGACAACTTGAAACTACAGACACGAGAGAGACATAGAACAGTTATGTGAGAGGTGATTCGATTGTTTTTGTAGCAAGGACAGCATTTCAATATGTGATGTAAAGTCTGAAAATCAGAGGTATAAACTTACAATAATCAAATCTCTTCCAGATCTATACTTTTATAGACATCTTATGATACAATGGCAGGTGATGAGTCACGATAGGATAGGCTTAGGCCACAGTAACAAACGAACAAATAAGAATCTCAGTGGGTTGGGGCGCCTGGGTGGCTTGGTCGGTTGAGCGTCCGACCTCGGCTCAGATCATCATCTCACGGTCCGTGAGTTCGAGCCCTGCGTCGGGCTCTGTGCTGACCGCTCAGAGCCTGGAGCCTGTTGCAGATTCTGTGTCTCCCTCTCTCTCTGCCCCTCCCCTGTTCATGCTCTGTCTCTCTCTGTCTCAGAAATAAATAAACGTTAAAAAAAATGTGAAGAATCTCAGTGGGTTAACGCAAAATGTATTTTGCACTCACAAAGTCTGCTGTGAATACAGAGACTCGGAAACACTGTCCTCAGATGACCAAAGATGCAGACTGTTTTGATCTTCCATATTCGTCAACTCAATGCCACACCTCCTCCACACTTGCTGTGGCAAAGGAAGAAACTATGGAAGGTCAAAGGTGAACTCTGAAATATTTTGGTCTGGAAGCGACATCCAGTATTTCTGCTCACGATCCATTGACCAGAACTAATGACATGGCCCCTCCAAAGTATAATGCTCCTGTCTATCCGGAAGGAGAGCAAAACTGGGCATGGGTGATCAGAGATGTCCCTATCACACCAGTCTTTAGATACAAACGTCTTCTTGTGTGCTCAAAACTTAACTCTCCGAATCAATGATCGTTGTTTAGTACTCTTTTCAAAAATTTTATACAAGTAATAGATTTGGAGTGTTTGTTTTCTGAATGCATTTTTCAAGCAGTTAATAAACTGACTGCAGATGATTGAGCTTAAAATCTATGACAGTTTTTATGAAGTAACTACATTGTCATTAGAAAGCTAAGGTCAATAGCCACTATGGGTAATTAAACTTATACTTTTAGAGTAATAAAATATTTAGTATTTTTTTTATGGCGATCTAGCTTTCTCAAAGTGGAGCACCCCCATCAAGATTAAGCAGGGTACTTGCTAAGAGTGAACACTTCCAGGCCCACCGACAGAATGAGACTCTGGAGGAAGGAAACTACAAACCCTTCTGGGAATTATTATGCACAATGATCTTTGAAAACCACCCACGTAGAGGAAACTGAGGTCAAAGTCAGAAGAAAAGAGATAATGGGCTTTCTTGAATCCCAGCTGTGGAGTGGAGCTCGCCGTGGGGCTGGCCAGATTGAAGGCTGGAGGAAGATCTGATCTGACTCAAGTCAGTCCCAGTTAGAAGAAATCTCAAGCAGGACCCTTCTGGGAGCACTGAGCCATCTATTCAGCAAGAAATCCCTATCATGCTCCTAGTAACTGGACCTAGTTTGAGCACACTACTGATTCAAGAGTGATGCTCCTGACTCTGATGTTCTTATTTTCACGTCCTGTCTCTTCTGGGTACCTTCATTCCTTAGGTGATCTCTTTCGTTCCTTCTACTTTAAATACCTACCCTATGCTAAGTCCTTGCCAATATCTATCTCCAGACTAAACCTCTTTTCTAACTCCAGACTATTGCCTGCTCAACACTTGCATTTAGTTGTCTAGAAAGGCTTTTAAAAACTTAACATGTCTGAAACTGATCCCCAGATATTCTTTCCCTAAACCTGCTTCTGCCACAGACTGATTTCTCCATCTCAGTTTAAGGCACCTTCAACCTTTGTTGGTCCAGGCCAAGGACCTTGGAGCCACACGGAACTCCCTTTTCTACCATCCAATCACCCAATGGATCCTCTCAAATGTGCTTTCAGAATATGCCCAGGATTTGATCACTTCTCACTCACTGCCACTGTTACTCCTCTAGTTGAAGCACCCCAAATCTCTGGTCTGGCATATTGCAGTAGCCACATAAAGTGCGTGTCTTTCTTCTCAAGTTCCCTTTAGACTCTCTCTCATCATGGCAGCCAACATGACCCTGTTGGCATCTTACAGCAGATCTAAAACACTCCCAACATCACTCACAGGAAAAATCAAAGTTCTAACAACGGCCTGCAAGGCCTTGTATGATCTGGCCCTCCTTTCCAACTTCGTTTCCTTCCATACTTCCCCTTATTAGTTCATTTCAGACACAGCGAACTTTTTAATTTCCTGCCATACATTGGTCCTGGTCCCTCCTTTGTAGCTGTTACTTCACCTACCTGGACGATTTTCCAGAGACATCTGCAGGCCATTCTTCAGGTCTTTCTTCAAAGGGCATCTTCTCAATGAGGATACAGCGCTAAGTGCTAAGGAGAATGAGAAGGGTTCTGGGTCACCTTGGTGGCTCTATTGGTTGAGCATCTGACTCTTGATTTTGGCCCAAGTCATGATCCCAGCATTGTGGGGTCGGGCTTCGTGTTGAGTGTGGAGCCTGCCTAACATTCTCTCTCTCTCTCTCTCTCTCTCTCCCTCTCTGTCTCTCTCTCTCTCTCTCCCCCTCTGCCCCTCCCCTGCTCGAGTGCATGCTCTCTTTCTCTCTCATTCTGTCTCTCTCTCTCCCTCTCTCAAAAAAAGTATGAGAGGGGATATAAGGTGCTGGATTGAGAGGACAGTGTTCTAATGGAGCTAAAACGTCACCCCCCCCCAATCTGGTACTTTATATCCCTCTCATTCTCCTCAGCACTAACACCCTGCGTATTTTTATTTATATCTTATATATTACCTGCCCTCTACATTAGTTTCTAAAGGTTCATGGAAACAAGCTTTATTTTTCCAGTTTTGTACATTGACGTATCCCAGCATCTAGAACAGTGCCCAGCACATAGAATCATTCGATAAATATTTCTTGAAAGAAAGAATTAATATATTGTTTTTTATTTAATTTTTTAAATGTTTCTTTACTTTTGAGACAGAGAGAGAGAGAGAGAGAGTGCAAGTGGATGAGGGACACAGAAAGAGGGAGACACAGAATCTGAAGCAGACTCCAGGCTCTGAGCTGTCAGCACGGAGCTCGATGCGGGGCCTGAACTCACGAACCACGAGATCACGACCTCAGCCGAAGTCGGACACTTAACCCACTGGGCCATCCCGGCGCTCCTATATACTTCTCTTCTAATAATACCCAGTCCTTGGTACCTACAGTTCTGATACCCATATTTTACTGCAGTTTTGTGACTGGCTGTTTGTCCTAGCTGCCGAGGCATCTGAAACTGAAACTTCCCACTCAAAATTGCTAAGTTGTCAAGAGTAACTGGTAAGTGACAGAAAGTGGACATGATGAGCACAGCTTTGGTCCCCAAGAGTAGAAAATTCTATGAAAACAGGACAGAGTGAGAAGATAGGCAGTTTATACAAATATGGAGGTATTTTCTGTGGTAGGTGGGCCTCTGAAAAGGTTTCCAATGATCCTTGCTTCCTGGTACTCATGAGAAATCTCTTTCCCTTCCATTTGGGCTGGACCTACTGACTCAGTTCCAACAAACAGGATACTGTAAAAGTCACGGGATGTCACTTCCAAGATTTGG